TCTTAAATAAGGGGCCCTTATCAATTATCGCAAAACATAGAATTTATTTTGGGTATTTTCCTTGCAGAAGCCTAAACTTCAGTAGAATAACAAAAACCACTGAAATTCATGAATATCTTAAGGGGTAAAAGTTTGGTTGTGTATGGGACATAGCGTGCGCGAATTTTTGGACTTGCCCACAAATTGACAAAGGGTTTGCAGCTTTAAAGTGTGATCTTGTTTGGTACGAGATGTAATTTAATGTGCACGCAGACAGGGAGTAATTGTTGCAGTATCCCATCGTCATTTTATGTACTTTACGGAAATTTAATACATGGCCGTAATGATGATCAGTCACAGCGTATTAACTGTTACCAGACCCACACATTTAGGACAAAGAAACGTTTTGTTTTAATAACTCATGGTATATATACATGTACATGTAAATGTTTAGTGTTTGGACCCTGTATTGCCACGGAATGATTACTGTCCATGGTAAATAGCCTTTTTATTTTCTATCCGCTCCGTTCACAAGTACCCCCTCACCGGCAAAGGAAGTACAGTTGGGGGTGCGCGGCCACTGCGTGTACATAGAACAAATCCCCTGGTGTACGCGCGTCACACACAAGGAACGGTGCGCGTCAACCAGCGAAATGTACCGCCCATGGAACGTCGTTGCTAGGTAAAAGGGCGCCCTCTTTTGTTAGCGCACGGAGCTCATTATTATTCAGTCGTATTGTTTGCTCACTTCATGTACGTAGGACTGCTAAAGATGTTGAAATTGTGTACATGGACATGTACATGTATACTACATGACTTGTATTTTCATGTATAGCAACCTATTTTTACCTGTATTTTACCTCTGGCTCTATTTTCTAAGAATATATTTTTCATGTTTTAAATATTTTTTTCCTATTTTGTTGGGGTGGCTAAATACAACTGATTTTAAAAAAAAATGTATTGTAAATATGAAAGAAATATATTTTTCTCTATTTTATTTGAACTGGGATGCTATGACTGTGCATGCTTGTGCTCAGCCAAATATAGCTTGAAGGCACATGAATGTTACTCATAATAGTCCTGGAAAATCACTAACCATGTGGTGCACTTGTCACTCCATTAAAGTGATTTTAATGCATTTTAACCCCAGATACTTGCCCCCGTTGCACACATCTTCACTGCACTTCACAAATGGCTCGCATAATGCAACTGACAAAATTCAAACTTGCCACTCACACAGGATGTTTCTTATCTGGTATGCAAATTAAGTGCTTGTCATTCCGATTGTGTACAAAATAGGAAATAAATAATCCATTGATTTCAGATATTATTCGAAGTCCCACATAATAGGAAATAAATAGGCCATGGTTCTCATAACCGTGTCTTAGTGTCCAGAAAATGGCCAAAAAATAGTCCATGGACCCTAATAAAATATCCAGGTCTCCAAAAAATAGTCAAAAAATAGTTTGTATTAAAAATATATATAAATAAAGTAGAGTGGCAACAAAAAACAGGGATAAAATAGTGCATCTGCGTCTACTTATTTTGTCCTATTTTCTAGGAGAAAATATCTTTTAAATGCATTTAAAATAGGAATAACAGGATTTTGCCAGAGATTTTCTATGAGGGATATGTGTGGTTGAATTTGAACCAAACTGTTTTAATAACTCGATGGTATCTACATGTAGATGTTAAATGTTTTGACTCTGTGTTGTCACAGAAGGCTGTCCATGGTAAATAGACTTTTATTTTTGTGGGGATCAGCATCTTGTAGCCCATACGTTCAACGGTTCAATTCGCCTTGTAGCATAGCACCGAGCAGTTTGTTTACTGCATACTTCATAGTGTTGCCGCGCCTGTAGAGAAAGTAGTTATTGTACCACTTTTTCCAATAATAATAGGTTACACACATTTGGGTAGGGATAACCATCCAGAATTGTTTTATAAATTATATTGAATCTTTTTTCCTAATATTGATTCGGTGACTTTAGTTAAGTAATGATTATCGTACATTTTACTGCGCACGGATATATAAACTAGCGTACCGTGTTATTTGGTTCCGCGGGAGCTTGTTATGTCCTCTTTTTCCATGATGGTTGAAGCTGCACGAACAGAGTACTTTTTCTGGCAGCAAACGACACTCAAAACCTAAGCCTTGAGACTCCAGACTGGTCTTGGTGACCAGGAGGAACTCCTGCCCACCCCTTGGTGTCCGGGTGAGTAGGATTTCAGTGTTTTTTATATGTCTTTGCGACAGCATTTTACGGTTTTTGACGCTATTGTGTGTGACTTTTTGACATGCAGTGATTGCACGTAACGTGTTGTGTGCGTACGTGCTGTCTGTAGCCCAGGTGCGGCCTTCATTGCATTACGACTGACGTCCAGGATGAGAGTTCTCTACGTAATACCACCCAAAATTTGGACTAGATTAAAGATTGGTCATACTTCTCTCTATTGTAAGATACGTACTTACATCGTCGATACATCACGCAAAAACAAATGTATATGTACGTACACGTATAGTCGGACTCCCTATTATCGCGGCATCCCTATTATCGCGGCATGGGAAATTTCTCTTTTTGACGTTGCCAAAACTCCTTCAAGTGGCGATTTTTATCCAGTTCACCAGTCATTGAGGATTTTTTGCCGAGTTGTATAAAAAATGTTGTGTCTTTCGGGACTTTTAACGATTTTTAATAAATATTAACGTTTTCCAAAACTTGCAAATTTTCCCTCACCGTGTCTGCTAAAAGGTACCATTTATATTTAAACATTAATCTTTAATTGTGCTCTGTCTATGAAAGTTCCATTGTCTGGTTCCCATTCTTCAGCTGCAAATATATAAAATGAAGTCGAACGACGATATTTGCAGCGCGAAATCGTAATAACTTTTACGGGATCAAAATAAGCACTGCGCCTTAGCGAAAATAAAACGGCACACCGTGTAAAGTGAATGGCGCCCCCAATCGCCAATCAGTAGACTTGCCTCAGTAATTTGTGTTCTCCTTTCAGGGGAAGGGCAGGGTCTTAAGAAATCATCCTGCAGAAATATAGTCTGTAATCATCTTGAACGTTACAGGGAAAATATCAGACTTTATTCAGGGGATGGTTTGGTCAAACATTAACTTCGAATAAAAAAGTTGGGATCATTATAAAAACCACTTCCCGCATACCGCGATAATAGGGAGCCCACCTCCGTTCGCACACTCCGCGCATGTCTATTTTCACAGGCATCGTACACGGAATAAACCGCACCACCGTCAGATTTTTTTATATTAATTTGAAAAGGAAGAGTTATACTACACAAAAGACAGGACAATTCGAAGAGGTTAGTGGGCAATCTGTATTCCGAACGAGAAACGTGACAAATACCGCGATAATCTGGCAACCCATCCTACAATGTATAGCGACACCCATCTGTTAGAATTAGGTCTAAAATTATCCGTCAATTTCGTACGATGTAAAAGTAGTATTAACATCAAAATGTGCAGTGTCCCTACGCTAATATCTCAGTATAAAAAATATCACCTTTACTCAGATGGTTATATCGTGATGGTCGGCGATGTTGGTCGATGTGTAGGACAAAAATTTATGGAGGAACGCAACGCCATATTGGAGCTCGGACGGAAAAAATATCTAGTGCGCGCGCGCGGCGCGCTGAACTCACTATCCAATCAAAATGCTCAGTCGCCTAATACATTACTGCGCATGCGTCTATGCAGAAAAGCTCACAACACTTTTAAAATGTGAAAAGTCACATCTTGAATTGGACAACTTTAGCATTACTAAGAGTTGGAATAACCTTTTGCAACATTTGAAATGCGGTTGTTTTGGTAGTAACACTTCGAAAATGTTAAAATTCAACGCTTCAGTTTTTTAGAGTGTAGGGAGATGGGGGTGGGTCATCAAAATTGATATATTACATCACAAACATCACAGCAAAACTGTAGCTTGACTTTCTTTCGAGATTTGCCCTCTTTAGCTTGATCCATGATTTTTTAGTCGTCACTAAGAATCAGCTCAATTCGTAACTGCCTGCGAGCGAGCATGTGCGTGTGTTTTGCACAGCTGTAGCTGTCAACCGCCATATGAAGTGACCTCGCGCGGCCGGCATGACAGAATGTACAGTCTTTTACCATGGGTTACAGAACCGGATTTTAGCAGCGGTGTTTATTATTTCCATTCTCCATTTTTCTTCTTCCCCCTTCCTTTCCCCTTCCTTCTCCTTTCTTCATTTTCATTTTTGCCGACGGCACCATGATTTTGCCGACAAAACAGACTAATGGGGGTGTGACAACCCCTCTCCCAGCAACGCCCGTGAGTAGGGGCTCTCAATAAATTTGAACAATAAAATGCTTACTTCTGTCTCCCAAAATTCGAAAAGGGGTTTGGGTGAGGGAGTCCTCAATGAGGGGGGGGGGGGGGCTCCCCCATTACGCCACTTTAAAATGAAATTCGGCAGGGTAAAAATGGAATTGACTTTTTGGTATCTATTAGGGCAATCTCTTCTTGAAATTTGGAACAGTTTTGAGGGGAGTAACCACTCGGTATTTTAATGACGAAGATTACAACAGTATCGATGACAACAATGACGCTCTTAAATTTACTATTTTATATTTTTTTGAATTGAAAAGAAGCAAGGATCCTTGCCCAGACAAAGAGTAGGATTTCGCTCAGGTGTCGGAAATACGTGCCTTTCAGTATATGTTCATGCGCTTTTTTTTTTTTAATTAGTTAACATATTTCCCGAAGGTTGATTGTGGTTGAATGTTTGCGAGAAAGATGGAGTGCCAATTAACACATTGCCAATAGAATATGCCTGTTAACGAAATGTCAGGGTCCTCGTCAATTCTTACTGGACTGTAAAACCGGGAAAACCGGGCCCACTTGAAACGTATGGCAGTAAAGGCAAAAAAGTGCAAAAAGAGCAAAATTAATAATCCTTTAAATTTGTGACCGATTCTTCAGATATTGTAGTTTTTTTTGTTATTTCTCCAGTAGGTGTCGCCCGACTGTTCCGTCTATTTTTTTTTTACAAGTAAAGCATAAGGCAGTATAGTAGTTAGTGCCTCGTTCAACAATGCAGACCAGGAGGAGACATCATCAAGAATGGCGCATTTTCTTTCTGATCATCCTGGCGAATGGTGCATTGTGCGATGGTAAGTTCACGTTGATTTAATTCGTCAACGTCGTTTTTCTTCCTTTAGTAGAATATTTACCGAAGACCCACGATCAAGGCTCACTATCACCAACTTTGATCTCATTAATTGCAGCCTCAGGCCACGAAAAATATTGCCGCGCCACTTTTGTCCGCTCCATCGTCACTGATGCATCGTTTGTAGATAGTCCAACATCTACGATGTTATCTCGGTTGGAGACTACTCGATCACGAATGTCTACAAGCCTCCTACAGCTTGGACCAACGCTACCGTTACATATGTTACCTTACCCAGCCATTTATGTGGGCGACTTCAATAGCCACCACACCATCTGGTGATACAATAGTGTGGCGGAATCTCCCGAGGTCAATTTAAACCAGAGGTCAGGGAAGGCAATCACCGACTGAGGTGAAAGTTCCGCTAACCCCAAACTATGTTTTCTGCCTCGAACCTAGGGAAGTTTTCGAGCAGCCTCTAGGCCCAGGGATGCAAGCTCGTTTTGGTGGAAATCTACCGCCCAGTTGGATACTGATTACCAGGCCCTGTTACTCTAGTACAGAAATGAACAAACAGACGAAGAAACTGCAGAATTATTGGACGCAGGAATACACAATTCTCTTTGTGGAAAGGAAATGATTGGCTAATTTATTTACGGACAATTCTGACTTAATTGGGAACTCTTTGATTTATAAGGTTATTATCGTTGGATTGTTATAAGTTTGAGCGCCTTAGCTGATCAGTACACGACAAAACCCGTGTGACAATAAACTTGACCGAGTACAGTTATTGACTACCTGTGACTATTCCTCCCAGGCCTCTATGTCAACCTCTGGGTCGACCCTCTATGTTATCGCACGTCTCTGTGAACCCACGACAACAATCCTTATGCCTGTACTTAGTCACCCTACTCTGTAAGTCAAACACTCAACTGCAACAATTGTACAAAAATGCACGGAATTACACGATAAAGCAATTCGGTCCTACCAGGCTAACTGGGTCACACCACGGGGCTCTGCGCTCCGTACAATCGCTCAACCAGGGTACGAGAAGTCGGGCCGAAACAGCGTCAACACCGGTACACTGCACCACACACGGCCTCGCCAAAGCAAACGCTAGCTTCGTTACGGACAATTGCAATTTCACTCGTACACTACTACTGAACCCGCTCCATACACAGAACTGAGGAACAACTTACGCCACCGACTCACGCAACTGACTCACGCCCGGCCGACCATGCGCTCAAGTACCACGGCAAGGGTAGCGGGGCCACGCCCAATCACGCCGTGATTGGCCGCCAACCCTTCACCTCTGCCCGGTAACACCAATCACGCATACGCGGGTACGGGAAACACAGATCGCAAGTGCGGTCACGGCCTGCCTCGCCCCGCCCAGCAACAGCGAGCGCGCTCCGATTGGCGGCCACTCCCGCCAAAACCACGAGACATTGTCCGCTGACACGACCTGACTTCCTTGCCAAGAAATTACAAGTAAACACTACCAAATAAAGGGAATAGACTGGTGTCGGCCCACCCCATCACGCCACACAGACCCGAGCAAAGCTTGGACTGTCCCAGTCCAAACCAGCTTGAACCCAGCCACGAGATGGGTGACCGGCACCAGTCTAGCTAATTAAATATGCACAAGCTTTTTAAACTTCACGTAAAATTCACTCTTATGTTTTTCGTTATAGAAAACTAAACTTATGATTTCTCTTTATACAAAACTAAACTTATGTGTTCCTTTATACAAAAGTAAATTGATGTTTTTCAGTTACACAAAAACCAAACTATGTGTTTCTTTGGCACAGAATGAAGCTTAGGTTTTCCTTTACACAGAATTATTGTTATGTTTTTCTTTACACAAAACTAAGTCTTTGTTTTTCTTTATACAAAACTTAGCTTATACATGGTAAAGTTTTCCTTACAATGAATTTGAACCACACAATTTATTTAGAAATCATGAATCCTCGGCAAAGATAAAAGTACTTTTCCTGATTGTTTTCCTTTTTATACAAGGAAATGTTTTGTATCAACAGATTACAATTTATGCAGATAATTTTAGGGATAAGACAGATGGAAAATCACACTTAAACTCGAATAGTATCCAAAATTAACTGGGAATCATTTTAACCAATGGACGGATTTCTTTTCAAACAAGATGAAGGCAATAATCACTGATTTTAAAACTTTAAAGATAAAATAACTTCTCTTTTACACACTAAATAGCACCAACAAAACTTCTTTCAACTGTTAAAACTAAAAACAACTACTAACACTAAATAAACTTTAACTGGCCCTAAGGACTTGCTAGTTGGGTCCCGTCCTCCTGAGGATCTTCCAGTGCAGCGTCCAGCTCTGTCTCGTGCAGATGCTCGGCGACCTCGTCGTTTCTCTTAGCGACCCTGTTGCGGTAGATCACTTCGGTGGTCGTCCTCACTCGGATTGTGACGAGTCTCCTCATCTTCAACGGAGGTGAGTCACGACCACTTCGGGAGGGGGAGGGGGTCATCTCTTCTAGGGGTGGCATAGATGAGTGTGTGGAGGTCGGAGAGGGGGGTGCTGGCGGTTGCATGGCCAACATGCCTCGAGGTTTCCCTCCGAGAGGTGGGGCTATTCTGACTGGAGCTGAAGTTTCCTGTGGCTCTGGTATTGCCAACAAGGCAGAAATGGGGCAGGGGGACAGTGACAGCACCGCCACTTCCTCGTCTGTTATCTGTGCTCGGTCCTCTTCGGACCCTTCTCCGCCTCTGGCTTCAACTCTGAGAAGTTGGAGATCTTCAGCTGGCCTTTCCAGCTGAGGCTTTATGGCTGCCGCCTCGTCCCGGTGCTCACCGTGGAATTTCTCGAAGTGCCTCTGGAGCGTGTGCTTGGCTGTAGCTCTGTATCTACACCGTAGGCAATGGAGGTACTCAATCGGCCCATGTGCCCCTCTGATGTGGTCCCATAGGGAGTCTCCCTGTGAGAATACCTCCCTACACTCTCGGCACTTGAATTCCTTGGCCTTCCTCTTTCTGCTTGACATCTTGGCTCTGTAACCAAGAACAAAAACAAAAACAAAACTGTTACTACCACATCCACATCTTTATCAAAGTCTGCCACTCTATCCGTATCTTACAGGCATACGGATAGAGGGTTCCTCCGAGACATACTGGTCCTCTCTGGCACTCTGATGGGGTCAACCTCTATCTGAACATCCCCATTTTCTACCGGAGCTTCTATTTCCGGTTCTTCTTGCTCTATTTGCTCTGTTTTCTCTGTTTCCTCAACATGAGGAGTCTCTTCTGTCACTTCGACTCGAGGGTTTTCTCCTGCTCTATCAATCTGAGGAGCTTCTTCACATGCTTTTGGAGAGTGACTCCAGGGTACCAGTTTCTCACCCTGGTATGGCTTCAGTCTGTCAGAATGCACCACTTTCATTTTTCCCCCTTTCCGTATCTGTATTCGGAAGGTCACATCTGACAATCTCCTAACTATCAGCCACGGTCCCTCCCATCTCAACTGCAATTTAGGGGACAACTGTTTCTTCTTAGCCGGGTTGTGTAGCCAGGCAAACTCTCCTTCTTTCAACCCTTTATGGGTGGCTCTTCTGTCATAGTTTCTCTTCTGTCTTTGGGAGTTTTTCCCTAGACAGTCTCTAGCCCTCTGATGTGCACTCTGCAAATTTCTTCGCAACTCTTCTGCAAAGTCTGTCCGAGTGTCAAACCCTGTCTCTGGACTACCGGTGACCAGGTCAACTGGTATACTGACTTCTCGCCCCAACATCATTATATTGGGGGACTCCCCTGTGGAGTCTTGTGGGGTGCATCTATACGCAAAGGTTGCATAAGGGAGGAATCTATCCCAGTCTCTATGCCTCTTCTGTGGGTCAATCAGCACAGCCACCATGTTTACTAGTGTCTTGTTAAACCGTTTGACCATACCATCCGATTTAGGATTGTATGCTGTCGTTCTTGTCTTTGCAATTCCTAAGACCTTGCACATTTCTGTGAAGACTTCTGACTCAAAATTGGTGCCCTGATCAGAATGGAGTTCTTGTGGTACTCCAAATCTACACACGAACTCTTGCACCAGTTTGAGTGCTACTGTACACGCCGTTGCGTCAGGCAATGGATAGGCCTCCATCAATTTTGTACAGTAATCACCCACTACGAGAATCCACTGGTTCCCACTCTCTGTTTTGGGCAGTGGCCCAAGCAAATCTATGGCCACTCTCTCTACGGGCACTCCCACTCTATATTGTTGCAAGGGTGCAATCCCTTTCTTCGCAGGGGACTTTCTTCTTGCACAGAGGTCACAACCCCTTATGAAGGAGCGAACATCTGCGGACATACCTGGCCAAAAATATCTTCTCTTTACTTTGGCAAGGGTTTTCTTTATGCCCAAATGACCACTAAGCAGTCCACCGTGCACCTCCCTCAGGGTTTCTTTCCTCAAACTCTGTGGCAACACTAGTAACCATATCACGACTCTACCGTCATCAGACTCCCACCTTTTATGCAACACCTTCTCTCTCACACTCAACTGGTCCCAGTAGGACCAATACGTCTTATGGGCCGCCGTCAAGTGGGAAATCTCTACCCACTCCGGACGATCTTTGCTCTCTCCCTTGGCCTCTAAGGCCCAACGTATCGTCTCATCTTCTAACTGGGCTTTCCTTACAGCCTCTAGTGGGACACTTGGTTTGGCCTCTATGCCTCTAACCAATGTCTTGTCCTCTTGTGACGTCACTTCCTCTCGGCCACATTGTCTACAGGGTTGCCTAGACAACCCGTCCGCGTTGCCGTGTTTCTTTCCAGCTCTATGCTGTACTTCTATGTCATACTCTGAAATCACCTCAAGCCATCTCGCCATCTGTCCTTCCGGATTCTTAAAATTAAGGATCCATCTCAACGCACTATGGTCGGTTCTGACAGTGACTTTCCTACCGTACAAGAACTGTTTGAAGTTCTTTAAGTACACCACTACTGCCAATAACTCCCTGCTTGTGACGCAGTAGTTTCG